CGCCCGAGAGGCAATATCCTGACGCACCAACGTTGCCCAAGTGGAAGACCTGACCGCTATGCTGCGCAGCAGGAAGGTCGGCGCGAAACCGGACGACTTTCCGATACTTCGGCTCATCGATAGGTAAAGATATGGAAGTCGCCTGGTGAAGCACGTTGCGGATATTCTTCCTCAAGACCTCCGCCATCACTTGGAGTTGTCGGCGATGGCGTTTCCGTCTTCTGTTCGCCACCGAGCCAGGCGCGTGCCTTTTCTTATCGCAGATGCGAGCGTCCTTCCCGAGAGAGACTCCTTCTGATAGCACCGCCCACGCGTCTTTCCACTCCGATGGGGACGGTGCGTTTCCCTTGATCAAGCCAGTATCAGACTCAGTCGCCAGAAACTCGCATGGCTTCTCAGGTGGCCAAGCGGTCGGGCACGCCAGAGGCTGCGGCACAATCGGCTGAGCAAACATGTCGGAACCCTTTTTCTTTTTTACCCTACAAGCCACGCGGTGCGAATCGGAAGCACTATGTCGCTCTAAAAGCATCCTGGCGTTGAAACCCGTCTCCGGGCGAATCTGGAACTTGGCAAACTTTGAAAACCTGGCGCCGTCACACTTGTTGCCAGAAGCCGCAAACTCAGCGCATATCCTGCACCCGAGGCCCCATATGCCACGGTTATCGCCTCGCGACAACCAAGAACGGCCCTCGTAAAGGGTACGCGCCTCGTAGACCTTAGGGCGCTTCTGCGAATCGCACCGAATGCAGAATCCCTTGCAAGCCGCATGGCGTTCCAGATGCTGCGCCTCGGAAAGGGGCCCGTCAAACACCTGGGGCATGTCATCCGAAAGGGAGCGCTTTCGCGACAGGGTCTGCGAACCCTTTCCACTTATGGGAACCTTCCGTGCCAACGGCGGGGAAATCAGAGCCGGAGCTTGTGACCTCTTCGCCGCTTTGACCGCCGCGCATGACCGCGGCCTCCGCGCCAGAAGCTGCGACGATTTCCTCAATGGACTCAGCTTTCGCAGCGACGAGCGCCCAACACTTTGAAATGTGTGCCTCCTGTAGCTTGGCATGATCGAATGCGATGTCTTCTGTGCCTCGGCCTTCCTCCGAGTCGCCCTCGTGGCAGTCGGTTTCTGCCCCCCTTCAGCGCGCGCGGGTTTCACCCGCTTTCCCGCCAGGGGCTGGGGCCCGAAACGAAGAGGCGGCGCAAGCAACACCATCCTGTGCAGCAGATCCCCCCGGCACTGCTTTCCCCGGGTGTGTTGAACAGCTCATTCTGAGCCAAACGGCGACTCGCGCGAAATTCAAACCAGAAAACACGCGTGAAACGGGGGATAAGAGCGGTTTGAATTTCCGGGGAGCGGCCTACCTACACGACCACACTTCGGGTGATAGGGAGGTTGCGGGAGGGAGAGACTGAAACTATATCACACCATCGCGTAGCATCGCATCGTTTAGCATCGCGTAGCATGGCAAAGCATAACATAGCATGCAATGGCATTGCAAAGCAGCACAACATGGCATAGTTTATCATACCATGGCGTGATATATCACAGCAGAGCATAGCAAAGCATAGCAACGCACAGCACATCATAGCAAAACATCGCAAACTGATTGCATGACATGGCATAGCATGGCATAGAGCATACCATGGCATAGCATCGCACATCATCGCGTCGCATCGCATAGCACAGCCTGGTACACCACATCATTACATAGCATCGCATAGCATATCATAGCACAGCATTGCACAACATAAGTATCGCATAAACTTGCACGGCGTAACATCGCGCAGCATCGCATAGCGTAGTGTAACTAAGACACCACGGGACAACTTGCCCTAGCTAGTTGTCCTGGTTGAGTGGCAGCAGAACTACCCACCACAACAAGAAACCTTAATGTAATGGGCAGCCGGTGGTGGACCAGCCAGGCGTGCAGTGGCGCTGGTCGTTGGCTGCGTGCTGTGGTGCTGGTCGTTGTCGTCGCCGTGGTGCCAGTTGGCGCGGTGCTGGCGTGGTCGCAGCCGTGGTGGTGTAGCTGGTGGGGCTGGTAATGCCGCGGGTCGTAGTTGTGAGCAGGGCCTGCCGTGTAAAGCAATGCAGAATGTAGCACAGCAGCTAGCCCGGTCAATTTCGCAAAAGTTCTTGTCATGCGTGCATGGCTGTCGTGGCGGTGGTGCTGCTGCCGTTGTTTTTCGCCGTCGTGGCTGTGGCGGTGCTGCTGGTGCTGCTGGTGCTGCTGGTCGCCGTCGTGGTGCTGCTCGTTGCTGTCTTGGTCGCCGTCGTGGTGGGCGCCGTGGTGGGCGCCGTCGTAGTTTTCCTCCGCCTGTGGCCGCAGTTGGGTGCTGGCTGCTGTCGCTCTGGTCGCTGCGGTGCTGCCTGCTCTCGCGGCGCCCGTGGCGAAAGTGCGCTCTGGTGACGAGCGGCGCGCCCTCGCCGACACCCGCCCGCGCCATCTCACGGTCAGCGTCCTGTCGCCGGTGCGAGCGCCGGAGCTGAGAGTGCCCGCCCCCTTCATGGGCCGCTGGCTGGCCTGGCTTGGCCTCCTGGTCGCGGCGGCCCTCGCCATGCCTTCTCCTGCCGCCCCCCTGTGCCTCCTCACGCGGCTGCTGCTTTGCAGGCGGGCTCTGGTGCTGTCGCTGCTGCGGCTGCCGCTCCTCGTCGCGTGTCGCCGCGCCCCTGGCTGCGGCGAGTGCCTTCCGGAGCTCGCTTTGCGCCCACCTCGCGTCGAACCTCGCGGCCAGGCAAGCGCGCCGACGCTCGAAAGCCGCCGCCTGCTCCACGAGCGCGTCGTGCTCGGCGCACGCGGCCTCGAGGGCACTGGCCGCCAGCCGCCGCGCGGCTCGCCGGCGGCCGCGGCGAAGGACCCGGCGAGCGTAGGCCGCCCGTCGCGGCGCCCTCTCGTTCGCGCCTGCCCCCTGCGGCGCCTCGTGGTCGCGTTGCGCCTCCTTTGCCTCCTCGTGCTGCTCTCTCGCCTCTTCCTCCTCGGCCTCGTCAGGTGCGTCGCCGGGCGCTGGCGCCGAGCCTCGCGGTTGCTGCTCCGAGCGGTCGCCGCGGGGGCCCTCGCCGCGCCAGCGTCCAGAGGCCAGGCGGCGGACCCGGGTCGGGCGGCGGCGGCGGCCCCACGCCGCTTGTCCAGGAAGCCCCCCGGGGGGGCCCCAGGCCCTTCGTGGACAGGGTCTTCCTGGTTAGACCCTGGCGGTGTCCACCCCCAGGGGGTCATGTCTGCCAGGGTCTGGCCGTCGCGTCGTGGCGCCGGTGCTGTCGTAGTCGTGTTGCTGGTGCTGGTGCTGGTGCTGGCGCTGCTGTTGCTGGTGCTCGCCGTCGTTGCCCCGCCGCTGGTTGCGGTGCTGTCGCTTGTGCTCGTCCTCGTCTTGGCGGTGGTGCTGCTGCTGGTGCTGCTGGTCGCCGTCGCGGTGGTGCTGGCGGTTGCCGTTGTGGTGGCGGCGTTGCTGGGCGCCGTCGCGGCGGTGGCGGTGCTTCTCCTCCGCCGCTGCCGCCTCCTCCTCCGCCTCTGCCGCCTCTTCCTCCTCTCCCTCCTCTTCCTCCTCTGCCGCTCCGCCTCTGGTCCTGCTCGGCGTCGCCCTCTGCCGTGCGCCCGGCCTCCCTTCAGTAGCGGTGGCCGCCCTCCCTGTGCAGCCTAGCCTCTGCCCCTGTCGGCCTGCATGGCGGGGCGTCGCCCCGGCAACGGGGCCATCCCGGCGGGCGCCGCGGGCCGGCCCGCCGCCCCCGCCCTGCGCGAGCGCCCGGTCAGTTTGGCGGCTCTTTCTGGCCCGTCCTCGGCCTCTGGCGCGGCCGCGCTGCTGGCCCCGCCTGCGCGCCGCCCCCCCTCCTGCTGCGCCGCCTCTGCCCCCCCCGAGCGGCTGCGCGGCAGGTCGGCGTGCAAGGTCCTGCCCGCGGGCCCAGGCGAGGGCGCCGTCGCGCGCAGGCCCGGCCCCCCCGGCGCGCGCGCGAGCCCCGCGCTCGCCCGCGCGGTCCGGCAAGCTCGCGGCGGCGCTCGACAAGGGGGGCAAGGGGGTTCGACCTCTCCTGGTGGGCGCGATGCTGCGCCGCCTCGGACTGCGGGCGCTGGCCTGCGCGCGGGAGACTCAGCTTGCCGACGCGGCGGGCGGGCACCGCCACGGGGTTGGGCGGACGGGCGGGGCGACCCTGCTGGCGCAGCACCTGCAAGCCTTGGCGGAGACGCGGGACGCCTTCTTTATCAAAGTGGACGTGGAGGCGGCGCTTCAAAGAATGATGGGCTCAGGGGGCTCAAGGGCTCGGGGGCTCGGGGGCTCGGGGCTCGCGCGCGCGCCGGGGGGGCCGGGCCTGCGCGCGACGGCGCCCTCGCCCGGGCCCGCGGGCAGGAGCTTGCACGCCGACCTGCCGCGCAGCCGCTCGGGGGGGGCAGGGGCGGCGCAGCAGGAGGGGAGGCGACGCGCAGGCGGAGCCAGCAGCACGGCCGCGCCAGAGGCCGAGGACGGGCCAGAAAGAGCCGCCAAGCTGACCGGGCGCTCGCGCAGAGCGGGGGCGGCGGGCCGGCCCGCGGCGCCCGCCGGGATGGCCCCGTTGCCGGGGCGACGGCCCGCCATGCAGGCCGACAGAGGCAGAGGCTGCACAGGGAGGGCGGCCACCGCTTTTGAAGGGGGGCCGGGCGAGCAGAGGGCGACGCCGAGCAGGGCCAGAAGCAGAGCGGCAGAGGAGGAATAAGAGGCGGCAGAAGCGGAGGAGGAGGCGGCAGCGGCAAAGGAGAAGCACCGCCGCCGCCGCGACGGCGCCCCGCAACGCCACCACCACAACGGCAACCGCCAGCACCACCGCGACGGCGACCAGCAGCACCAGCAGCAGCACCACCACCAAGACGAAGACGAGCACAAGCGGCAGCACCGCAACCAGCGGCGGGGCAACGACGGCGAGCACCAGCAACAGCAGCACCAGCACCAGCACCAGCACCAGCACCAGCACCAGCACCAGCACCAGCAACACGACTACGACAGCACCGGCGCCACGACGCGACGGCCCGACCCTGGCAGACATGACCCCCGTGGGGGTGGACACCGCCAGGGTCTAACCATGGTAAGACCCTGTCCACGAAGGGTCTGGGGACCCCCCGGGGGGCTTCCTGGACAAGCGGCGTGGGGCCGCCGCCGCCGCCCGACCCGGGTCCGCCGCCTGGCCTCTGGACGCTGGCGCGGCGAGGGCCCCCGAGGCGACCACTCGGGAGCCAGGCGCGACAGCCAGAGCAGCAACCGCGGCGCTCGGCGCCAGCACCGGGCGACGCACCTGACGAGGCCGAGGAGGAAGAGGCGAGAGAGCAGCACGAGGAGGCAAAGGAGGCGCAACGCGACCACGAGGCGCCGCAGGGGGCAGGCGCGAACGAGAGGGCGCCGCGCCGGGCGGCCTACGCTCGCCGGGTCCTTCGCCGCGGCCGCCGGCGAGCCACGCGGCGGCTGGCGGCCAGCGCCCTCGAGGCCGCGTACGCCGAGCACGACGCGCTCGTGGGGCAGGCGGCGGCTTTCGAGTGTCGGCGCGCTTGCCTGGCCGCGAGGTTCGACGCGAGGTGGGCGCAAAGCGAGCTCCGGAAGGCACTCGCCGCAGCCAGGGGCGCGGCGACACGCGACGAGAAGCGGCAGCCGCAGCAGCGACAGCACCAGGGCCCGCCTGCACAGCAGCAGCCGCGTGAGGAGGCACAGGAGGGCGGCAGGAGAAGGCATGGCGAGGGCCGCCGCGACCGGGGGGCCAAGCCAGGACAGCCAGCGCCCCATGAAGGGGATGGGTACTCTCAGCTCCGGCGCCCACACCGGCGACAGGACGCTGACCGCGAGATGGCGCGGGCGGGTGTCGGCGAGGGCGCGCCGCTCGTCACCAGAGCGCACTTTCGCCACGGGCGCTCCGCCACCCCAGACGGCCACTCCAGCCGTCGGGCCGCCAGCCCTCCAGCCCCTTCCGAGGGAGGGGGCTGGCGTCAGCTGCAGCCCGTGCCCCCCAAGGGAAGAGCCCCATTCCCACGGTAGGACTCCCCTGGGGCCAGTTCCCCATCGGGGTTCGCGCGGCTCCGCTGCGGGCCCCGGTGGCGCCCCGGCTTGCGCAGCAAGCCCACAGGAGCAACGCGACAACATTTTCGACAACAAGAGGCAGTACGACCCCCAACAGTGGCGCCACAAGCAGCAGCGCAACGACGACGACGACCGAGAGATGGCGCGGGCGGGGGTCGGCGAGGGCGCGCCGCTCGTGACCAGAGCGCACTTTCGCCACGTGCGCCGCGAGAGCAGGCAGCACCGCAGCGACAAGAGCGACAGCAGCCAGCACCCAACTGCGGCCACAGGCGGAGGAAAACTACGACGGCGCCCGCCACGGCGCCCACCACGACAGCGACCAAGACAGCAAAGAGCAGCACCACGACGGCGACCAGCAGCACCAGCAGCACCAGCAGCACCGCCGCAGCCACGACGGCGAAAAAACAACAGCAGCAGCACCACCGCCGCGACAGCCATGCACGCATGACAAGAACTGTTGCGAAATTGACCGGGCCAGCTGCTGTGCTACATTCTGCATTGCTTCACACGGCAGGCCCTGCTCACAACTACGACCCGCAGCATTACCAGCCCCACCAGCTACACCACCACGACGGCGACCACACCAGCACCGCGCCAACCGGCACCACGGCGACGACAACGACCAGCGCCACAGCACGCAGCCAACGACCAGCGCCACTGCACGCGCCCACAGCGACCAGCACCATAGCGGCAGCACACAGCACCACAGCGACCAGCACCATAGCGACCAGCACCACCGACAAGCACCACAGCACGCACCCAACGACCAGCACCACAACGAAGACAACGACCGCGGCCAGCAGCAGCACCACGAGCAACACAGCAGCGGCGACCAGCAGCCCCAAGAGCAGCAAGCACAGCCAGCAACACCACAGCGACCACTGAGGGAAAGACCACGAGACCAGAAACACCACGCCAGCAGCACACAGTACCAAGACCAGCACCACGGCGGCGATATTGACCAGCACCACAGCAAGGACCAACACCACAGCGACCAGCGCGACAGCGACCAACACAGCAGCAGCAGCAGCACACAGCACCACAACGACCAGCACCACAGCGACCAACGCCAACGACCAGCAACACAGCACGCACCAAACGACCAGCGCCACAGCACGCAGTCAACGACCAGCACCACAGTGATGATCAGCACCACCACAGCACCACAGCACGCAGCCAACGACTGCGGACGGCAGCCCCCTGGCAGCAGCAGCAGCAGCAGCAGCAAAAGCAGCAGCAAAAGCAGCAGCAGCAGCGGCAGCCAGCAGGGCCCTCCGCCACCCCAGACGGCCACTCCAGCCGTCTGGCCGCCAGCCCTCCAGCCCCTTCCGAGGGAGGGGGCTGGCGTCAGCTGCAGCCCGTGCCCCCCAGGGGAAGAGCCCCATTCCCACGGTAGGACTCCCCTGGGGCCAGTTCCCCATCGGGGTTCGCGCGGCTCCGCTGCGGGCCCCGGTGGCGCCCCGGCTTGCGCAGCAAGCCCACAGGAGCAACGCGACAACATTTTCGACAACAAGGGGCAGTACGACCCCCAACAGTGGCGCCACAAGCAGCAGCGCAACGACGACGACGACCGAGAGATGGTGCGGGCGGGGGTCGGCGAGGGCGCGCCGCTCGTGACCAGAGCGCACTTTCGCCACGTGCGCCGCGAGAGCAGGCAGCACCGCAGCGACCAGAGCGACAGCAGCCAGCACCCAACTGCGGCCACAGGCGGAGGAAAACTACGACGGCGACCAAGACAGCAACGAGCAGCACCACGACGGCGACCAGCAGCACCAGCAGCACCGCCACAGCCACGACGGCGAAAAACAACGGCAGCAGCACAACCGCCACGACAGCCACCAGCAGCACCACCGACACCACGAGCACCACCCAGCGCTGCACTGACCCAGACTCCCGGATTGACTTCGAGATCCCAGGAAGAACGTATTCTTGGAGGGACTCTGAAGTCTCAGGGGGAGGTTCAGGAAGGAGCGCGCGAGGGCAGGCAGTCCCGCGGCGACCAGAGCGACGGCAGCCAGCACACAGCCACGGCAGCAGGCGGCGCCTCTCAACGACCGCGCACACGACGAGAGCGACCACCACGACAGCGACCAGCAGCAACACCAACGCCACCGCCACGACAGCGCCCAACAGCAACGCCACGACAGCGACCGGCAGCGCCGCCACCAGCACCAGCACCAGCAGTGACACTGGCAGCGCCACCTGTACCACGACAGGAGCTGCGCACACCAGGGAGGGACCAGCGAGACGCGCTGCACGGCTACCGCGGACAGCGCGTGGGTGAGGCGAGCCACCCAGGGCCACCGCGCAACGACGCTGCCCCAGCCACGCCGCCGCGCGGACGCTCGCAAGCGGACCTGCCCGAGCCAGCGGGCGAGGTTTCGGGCGAATCCGCGCCCCGGCCGGCGGAGGCCGAGACTCCCCCTCGAGAGCTCTTCGGTTCGCCGGGCCGGTCACTGTCGCCGCTTCCTGCCGGACAGAGCCACTTTAGCGCCGTGTTCGGACAGGCGCCTGCGGCCGGATGGGACTTCTCTGGGCCGTTCGCGCCGCCGCGGGAGACAGCCGAGGCCGAGGAGCAGCAACAGCCGCAGCAACCACAGCAGGGGCCGGACCCCCAGGAGCCGGAGCAGCCAGAGGCCAGCGAGGTTTGCTACATGTGCCAGGAGCCGCTCGACGACTCGAGGGTGCAATGGCCCGACTGCGGCCACGTCCCGCAGGCCTGCCTAGCCCGGTTTCGCCCTCTCCGCCGCGGACTCGCACACCTGCGGAACTCGGGCGGCGATTCCAGCCGGGTAGAGGACGCAGCGTGCCCACTCTGCAACCACAGGTGGGGCGACGGCCCGAACTCTGCCGCGCGGCTCGCGGAGCTGGCGGGCCACCTTGGGCGCGGCGGGGGGCTCCCTTTCCGAGGGCGCCGCTGCCTGCCTTGCCGGGGAATCGCAGGCGACCCGAGTTCCGACGAGGAGCGGGCCAACCGGTACCGAGGGGGGCCCCTCGTGCTGCCGGAGGGGCCGGCACCGCACGCGATCGCCATGTGCCCGCGCCGCCCGGAGCGACCCTTGCGATGGCGGCACTCGCGCGGGCCAGAAGGGCTGACGGGCAGCTGGGAATGCGCCGCCTGCGATGTCGCCCCGCTCGGTAGCGAGGTCCCGCCGCCGCTGGGCGAGAGGCCGCCGCAGTGCCCTTGCGGCCAGCCAGGGCAAGTCGAGTGGGTCGCCCGGGCCAGCGGAGACGCCGGAGGGCCTTGGAGGTGGCAGGGAGACTGGCTCTGCGAAAACTGCGCCGCCACAGCGCTGCCCGAGCCAGAGGCCGCACAGCCGGAACGGCCGCCAGAGCCAGGAGCAGGAGGCTCGAGCCCGGACCCACCGGCGGCGGACGGCCCACGAACCCAGTTCAGCGGCTGGTCGCCTCCACGACACGCTGCAGAGACCAGCCGCTACCTTAACTCCTGGATGTATGTGCCGCTCCTCCTGGACGCCGCTGGCCAGCTTGACGGGGAGGAAGCCGCCGCTTGGCGACAGCACCCTGCCGCAGCACACTGGTGGGAGAACGCCGCGGCGTTCCTCCTAGAGCGGCCGCCCGCCGACGTGTCCGCCTTCCGCGCGGCGGGCCCCCTGCTGCCGCAGGCTTTCGGAGACGGGCTGCACGGGGACCAACTGGGGCTGCCGGCGGTGGTAGGGCTCCTTGCCGACGACAGAGGATACGTGCAGCCGATCGCCCAGGACATCGTGATGCAGATCTTCGGGGGGGTGGACTTCATCCGCGCTGTGGAGGTGCAGGCTGACGCCCACATGGCCCGGCTTGCGCGCGGGCTGCCTCCAAGACCCGCCCCGGCAGCAGGGCCTGGATCCAGAGCACCGGGCCCGCCGGGCGCGCGCGGAAGAGGCGCCGAGGAGGAGCCGCAGCCAGCGCCCGCAGCGGCGGAGGGAGAGGGAGGCGCCGCACCAGGCAGAGGAGGGAGAGGCGCAAGAGGAGGCAGAGGACGAAGAGGCGCTGGAGGAGGCAGAGGGGGCAGAGGCGCCCGAAGAGGCAGAGGGCGAGCAGGCGGCAGAGGAGACCCGAGCAGCGACGACGACGACGAGAGCAGCGAGGAAGAGGGCAGCCACAGCCAGAGCGACAGCGCCTCCGACAGCGCTGGCCCCGCGCCGCCTGCGCCAGCGCCGCCGCCTGCGCCAGCGCCGCCGCCTGCGCCAGCGCCGCCGCGCAGTGGCGGAGGCGGGCGACGAAACCGGCGCCCGGCGCAGTCTGCCTTCCCCGACGCCGCCTGGGCGCTTCTTGACGCAGTGGACTTGGAGGCCGAACTGCGCCGGCGGGTGCCGTGCACCCGGGCGCCGCCAGCTTTCCTCCGCGGCCGCCTTCGCCAACTCTACCACACGGTCCTCGAGGAGGTCCTGCGCGCAGACGCCCTTCCTGGCGACGCCGACGGGCTGCAGAAGGTGAGGGCTTGGAAGCTCCTGGTTCTCATCTGGCGCATGCTGCTGCGACGGACCACGAGCACTGGGGCGCCAGGGCGGCGAGAGCTCGAAGCGCGACTGGAGCAGTTCGAGGACGGCTCCTGGGAAGCGCTGCTGGCCCCAAGCCTGCAAGGGCAGCGGCCTCCGGGAGGGGCGCGCGGCGCGGGCGACGCCGAGGCGAGGCGCCAGCGCCTCCTGGAAGACGCGGTGGCGCTGGTCAGAGCAGGAGGCCTCAGCAAGGCGCGGCAGCTCGCCTCGCGCGGGCTGGCGCCGGGCACGGCGGAGACTTTGGCCGAACTGCGGGACCCCGCCCGGCGACCGCCGAGGCCCGCCGCCGACTTGCCGCCTGCCGCCCGAGCCTTCCAGCCGGCTCGGCCCGTCGAGCTCGACCGCGGGATCTGGGCCGACTGCGCCCGCTCCGCCCCGAAAGGGTCTTCCAGCTTGCTGAGCGGAGCCATCTTTGAATTGCTCAAGCTGGCCTTGGACGAAGACGAGACGCTCGAGCTGCAAGCTGCCGTGGCGGAGCGCTACGCGCGGGCCGAGATCCCAGCGAGCGTTGCCTGCGCCGTGGGCACAGGCCGCATGGCGGCGCTGCTGAAGGACAACGGCCGCGCGCGAGGCATCGTTGCAGGCGACGCCTTCCGCCGGCTCGTGGGCAAGGCCCTCTCCCGGCAGCATGGGTCCGAGATGGACGGCGCCTGCGCGCCGTTCCAGTACGCGCTTTCGACGAGAGCGGGCACCGACAGCGCTGCCCACTTCCTCCGAGCGGCCACGGACTCCGACCCCGCGGCGACCATCGTCAGCATCGACGGCATTGGGGCCTTCGACCACGCGCGCCGCGACCGCATGATCGAGAAGCTCCTCTCGCTGCCGGAGGCCTCCGCCATGGTCCCAATTTTCCTGCTCTCCTACGGCCAGCCGTCGACGTACCTCTGGACAGACGATGCAGGAGTCGCGCGCGAGGTGAGGCAGGGGGAAGGCGGAGAGCAAGGCGACCCGCTCATGCCGGCGCTGTACTCCCTGGCTCAGCATGGCGCCCCGCGCAGCTTCAGCCGGGCGAGACGCTGCCTACCTGGGCGACGTCTACATTGTCTGCAGACCAGAGCGCGCCACAGAAGCTTTCCGCGTGGTTACCGCTGCCATGCGCGAGTGGGCAGGGATCGAGGCGAACCTCGGCAAGTGCCGCATGTGGAACCGAGGCGGCTTCGAACCAGCAGGGCAGTTGTCGTTGGGCACAGCCGTGTGGGTTGGCGGCGCCGGCACGCCTGAGGAGCACCGCGGCCTCAAGGTGCTCGGCGCGCCCCTGGGCACCGCGGCGTTCGCGACCCGGCTGACGCACCACAGGACGGGCGAGGAGCGCAGCTTTCTACAAGAACTCCCCAACCTGCCAGACCTTCAGTGATTTTTTAACACACACACACACACACACACACACACACACACACACACACACACACACACACACACACACACACACACACACACACACACACAGACACACACACACACACACACACACACACACACACACACCACACACACCACACACACACACACACACACACACACACACATATATATATATATATATATATATATATATATATATATCGGCGGCCAGTCGGAGCCCCCCCCGCGCGCCCGCGGTGAATGCGGGGCGGGGGCACGCCCCAAAGGAGCGAGAGGTTTTCGGCCGGAGCCAGGAGGACCTCGAACCTGCCGCGGGCGGGCCTTGGCGCAGAGAGCGCCCGCGCTGCCGCGGCGTGGCGAGCAGGCTCGCTCAGCCGCCGCCTGCAGGCCGCAGCCGCCGCGCTGGCCCAGCTTCCGCCGCCGCCGTCGCGGCCGTCGGCCAGGCGGCCGCCAGCGTGGCTGCCTCCGCCTCCGCCGCTGCCGCCAGCGGCCGCCGCTGCCCGCCGCTCGCGGCGCGGTCTGCCTGTCGCGGCCTGGCCTGCCCGCCAGCCGCGCCTGGGCCTGCGCCAGCTGCCGCGGGGTACTGAGCAGCGCCCCAGGCGCAAGGCGGCCTTGCGCCAGCTGCCTCGCCCTCCTGGCGCGCGCTGCCTCCTTCTCTGCTTCCTCGGCCGCGCCCCCTCCTTCTCCGCCTCGGCGCAGCTGCGGCGGGGGTCTCGGCGTGGGGCCCGTAGGCGGGCGCGCTGTAGCCCCGTCCCACGCCCGGCAGGTGGGGCCCGCAGGCGGGTGCGCGGTAGCCCCGTCCCACCTCCCACCCCCGTTCCGCTTTCTGGGGCCGGCTCGTCGCCAGCAGGCCCCTGTTCCTCTGCGTTCTTGGAGCGGGGGCCCAGGCGTGGGGCCCGCAGGCGGGTGCGCGGCAGCCCCGTCCCACGCCCGGGAGGTGGGGCCCGCAGGCGGGTGCGCGGCAGCCCCGTCCCACCTCCGGCACCCGCTCCATTCTGGGCCCCTTCCTGGCCGTCTTCGTCGCGCTGCTGCTCGTCGCGGCCGCGGTGGTGGTGGTGGTGGTGGTGGTGGTGGTGGTGGCGGTGCTGGTGGAGGGGCGGTGCCAAGGTGCAATCACGTCCTGCGCACGCTGCCTCCGACGCTGTCGCGGTCCTACGCCGAGGCCCACGACCGCGGGCTGCAGGAGGCGCCACGCGACCTCCTCGACCTCGACCCCGCGCCAGCTGAAGCAGAGAGGCTCTTCCGAGTGAGCTCGCTGCCGCTCGGCCTCGGAGGCCTTGGACTCAAGTCAGCCGCGCGCACGGCCGAGTGCGCGTACTGGGCGTCTTGGGCGGACGCGCTCCCCATGTTGCAAGAAAGAAATCCCACAGCAGCAGCGGAGCTCACCGCCGCCCTCCGCGCCGGGACAGGCGTCGCAGCCTCGTGCCTCCAGGAAGCTGAGCGCGCGAGGGCTGCCGCCGCCTGCGACGGCTTTGCGACGTGCCCAACTTGGCAGGAGGTCTGGGACGGCGCGCGCCCTGAACAGACAGAGCCAGAGCCGGGCGAGTGGAAGCACGGATGGCAGTACCACGCCTCCGCAGCCCGAGAGCGGCGCTACAGGGAGGAGGTCGTTCTCCCGAGCCTCACAGACGACCAGCAGTGGATGCTCGACTCGCAGGGGGGCCGCTGCGGCGGACGGCACCTGGCCCTGATCCCCTCGACGCCAGAAAGCACGTTCACGCCAGAGCGCTTCCGGGCACTGCTCCAGAGACGGATCCGCTTGCCGCTGGGCGCCACGGCATGCAGGTGCAACGGGCGCTCCTGCCAGGCCCACTTGGACGAGAGAGGCGACCACAGAGCAGCTTGCCCCCGCAGCGGACGCCTGCTGAAGCGCGGCGCTCCCATCGAGCGGATGTGGGCCCGGGTGTGCCGGGAGGCAGGAGGCCGTGTCCGCACCGACGTGTTCCTGCGCGACATGAACCTCCGGGGCATTGCCGCCAACGACGGGCGCCGCATCGAGGTGGTGGCCAACGGCCTCCCTGCCTACCACGGCAGACAGCTCGCCATCGACGCCTGCGTCGTATCCCCGCCGAGGGCCACCGGCAGGCCGATTGCGCAGAGGCTCCGCCCAGGACTCGCGCTGAAACGGGCGAGGCGCCGCAAGCAAACGACTTGCCCTGAGCTGGTGGGCTTGCGGCGGGGCTACCTGCTCGTAGCCGGAGCAGAGACGGGCGGCCGCTGGGACGAGGAGGCGTACAAGCTCCTCGTTACCCTGGCCCGCGCCCGGGCGAGGAGCGCGCCGGCGGCGCTGCGAGGATCGCTTGCGACCGCGCTGCTGCGCAGGTGGAGCGGCATGTTGGCGTACGCCATCCACGACGCCCTGGCCGCGAGTCTGCTCGAGGACGTGCCCTCTGAAACGCTAGCGACAGACGGGGAGAATCCCTGGCGAGGGGACGTTCTGTCGGCGCTCCCCTAAGAGCACCGGCCCCCGCGCGGGGGCGCGCACGGGCAGGGCGGGGCACAGCAGCTCGCAGGAACGCCGACAGCAGAGCTACTGCGAACAGCACCACAACCACCGCCACCACCACCAGCACAACTACGAACAGCACCTCCACCAGCACGACGACGACCACGACGACCAGGAGGAGGAGGAGAAGGACCACCACGACCAGCACCACCACGGCCAGCACCACCACGGCGACCAGCCCCACCACGGCGACCTGCGCCACGACTACGCGCCACCACGGCGACCAGCACCACCACGCCCAGCACCACCACGACCAGGAGGACCACCACGACCACCACCAACACGGCGACCACCACCACGACCAGCGCGACTACGGCCAGGAGGACCACCACGACCACCACCACGACCACGGCCAGCACGACTGCTGCCAGCACGACCAGCACCACCACCAGCACGACCAGCATGACCACGGCCAGGAGGACCACCACGACGACCACCACCACCAAGACCAGCACCACCACGACAACGGCCGGCACCACCACAGCGACCGGCACCACCACGGCGGCCAGCACCACCTCGACCAGCACCACCACGACCAGGGGGACCACAACGGCGACCAGCGCCACCACGGCGACCAGCACCACCACAGCGACCAGCACCACCACGACCAGCACCACCACGGCGACCAGCACCACCACAGCGACCAGCACCACCACGACCAGCACCACCACGACCAGGAGGACCACCACGACCAGCTCCACCACGGCGACCAGCACCACCACAGCGACCAGCACCACCACGACCAGCACCACCACGGCGACCAGCACCACCACACGACCAGCACCACCACGGCGACCAGCACCACGACTACGCACCACCACAGCGACCAGGACCACCACGACCAGGAGGGCTACCACGACCAGCACCACCACAGCGACCAGCACCACCACGACCAGCACCACCACGACCAGGAGGACCACCACGACCAGCTCCACCACGGCGACCAGCACCAGCACAGCGACCAGCACCACCACGACCAGGAAGGCTACCACGACCAGCACCACCACGGCGACAGGCACCACCACGACCAGCACCACCACGGCGACCAGCACCACGACTACGCACCACCACAGCGACCAGCACCACCACCAGCAACACCACGACCAGGAGAACCACCACGACCAGCACCACGACCAGCACCACCACGGCGACCACCACCACGACCAGCGCGACCACGGCCAGGAGGACCACCACGACCACCACGACCGCGGCACGACCACAGCACGACCACGGCCAGAACGACCAGCACCACCACCACCACGACCAGCACGACCACGGCCAGAGGACCACCACGACGACCACCACCACCAAGACCAGCACCACCACGACCACGGCCGGCACCACCACAGCGACCGGCACCACCACGGCGGCCAGCACCACCTCGACAAGCACCACCACGACCAGGAGGGCCACCACGGCGACCAGCGCCACCACGGCGACCGGCACCACCACAGCGACCAGCACCACCACGACCAGCACCACCACGACCAGGAGGACTACCACGACCAGCACCACCACGGCGACCAGCACCACCACGGCGACCAGCACCACCACCACGACCAGCACCGCGACTACGCACCACCACGGCGACCAGCACCACCACGAGCAGCACCACCACGACCAGGAGGACCACCACGACCAGCACCAACACGGCGACCAGCACCACGACAAGCGCGACCACGGCCAGGAGGAGCACTACGACCACCACCACGACCAGCACCACGGCGACCACGACCACCACGACCACGGCCAGCACGACAAGCACCACCACCACCACGACCAGCACGACCACGGCCAGAGGACCACTATGACCACCACCACCACGACCAGCACCACCACGCCCACGGCCAGCACCACCACGGCGACCAGCACCACCACGGCGACCAGCACCACCACGACCAGCACCACCACGACCAGGAGGACCACCACGGCGACCAGCACCACCACGGCGACCAGCATCACCACGGCGACCAGCACCACCACGACCAGGAGGGCTACCACGACCAGCACCACCACGGCGACCAGCACCACCACGACCAGCACCACCACGGCGACCAGCACCACGACTACGCACCACCACAGCGACCAGCACCACCACCAGCACCACCACGACCAGGAGAACCACCACGACCAGCACCACGACCAGCACCACCACGGCGACCACCACCACGACCAGCGCGACCACGGCCAGGAGGACCACCACGACCACCACGACCGGCACCACCACGACCACGGCCAGCACGACCACGGCCAGCACGACCAGCACCACCACCACCACGACCAGCACGACCACGGCCAGAGGACCACTACCACTACCACCACGACCAGCACCACCACGCCCACGGCCAGCACCACCACGGCGATCAGCACCACCACAGCGACCAGCACCACCACGACCAGCCCCACGACCAGGAGGACCACCACGACCAGCACCACCACGGCGACCAGCACCACCACGGCGACCAGCACCACTACGACCAGCACCACCACGGCGACCAGCACCACCACGGCGACCAGCCACCACTACGACCCGCACCACGGCGACCAGCGCGAGGACCACAACGCACCACCGCGACGCACCCCGACCAGGAGACCACACACGACCAGCACTACCACGGTACAAGCACCCACCACGGTGACCAGCACCACTACGACCAGCACCACCACGGCGCACCCAGCACCACCACGGCCAGGAGCACCACTACGACCAGCACCACCACGACCAGCACCACCACGGCGACCAGCACCACCACCACCGACCAGCACCACCACGGCGACCAGCACCACCACGACCAGGAGGACCACCACGACCAGCACTACCACGGCGACCAGCACCACCACGGCGACCAGCACCACCACAGCGACCAGCACCACCACGACCAGCACCACCAGGCCAGGAGGACCACCACGACCAGCACCACTACGGCGACCAGCACCACCACGGCGACCAGCACCACTACGACCAGCACCACCACGGCGACCAGCACCACCAGGACCAGGGGCAGCACGGCGACTAGCAGCACCACGACAGCAGCCAGCAGCACAGAGGAGGAGGAGGAGGCGGCGGCGGCGGCGGCGGAGGCGGCGGAGGAGACGCTGGCGCTGGCCCGAGGCAGCGCGGCGGCGCGGAGGGCGAACGCACCGCCGCGAGGCGCAGCGCCGCCGCAGGTTCGCTCACGGGCAGAGGGGGGAGGATTCAGCCCTCCTAAGCCACAGCCCTCTGCCCAGCGACCTGCGGCGGCGGGCGCGGCGACCAGCGGCGGCAGGCCCAGGGCGCCCCGGGCCGGGCGCCGCGGCACAAGGCGCAGGCTGGCGGCGGCGGCTGGCGGCGGCTGGCCGAGGGCGCCCCGGGCGCTCCTGGGGCGCCGAGGGGCTTGGGGCAGCTGAGCGGGAGGCTCCCCGCGGGGCGGTTAGCTGGCGGGAGGTTCGGGGTTGCCCTGGCTTCGGCCGAAAACCCCCCGCTCCTTCGGGGCGCGCCCCCCGCCCCACACTCACCGTGGGCGCGCGGGGGGTCCGCGCTGGCCGCAAGGGGACGCGGCAGCCATGGGGTAAGGAAGGGGGAAAAAATTAGCCTGGCGAAGGACCCAACCATATGCAGCTGCGAGTACCGCGCGGATATGAGACGAAGGAGGGGGCACGCAAACTATGCCCCTCTTCTCATAGGCACCGCGCCACTGGTGCCTTCGGTGGAGCTCCCTATGGGGCCGCGAAGCGTGTGCAGGGTGTGCCGAAATGGGTGGTGGGGAGGCATGCGAACGCAGCCACTGGGGCCTTCGGTGGAGCTCCCTATGGGGCCACGCAGCGTGTGAGGGGTGTGCCGAAATGGGTGGTGGGGAGGCATGCGAACGCAGCCACTGGGGCCTTCGGTGGAGCTCCCTATGGGGCCACGAAACGTGTGAGGGGTGTGCCGAAATGGGTGGTGGGAGGCATGCGAACGCAGCCACTGGGGCCTTCGGTGGAGCTCCCTATGGGGCCACGTAACGTGTGAGGCGTGTGCCGAAATGGGCGGCGGGGAGGCATGCGAAACGCAGCCACTGGGGCCTTCGGTGGAGCTCCCCTATGTGGCCACGAAACGTTGTGATGGTTGCCGAAATGGTGGTGGGAGCCACTGGGGCCTTCGGTGGAGCTCCCTATGGGGCCACGAAACGTGTGAGGGGTGTGCCGAAATGGGTGGTGGGGAGGCATGCGAACCCTGCCACTGGGGCCTTCGGTGGAGCTCCCTATGGGGCCACGAAACGTGTGAGGGGTGTGCCGAAATGGTGGTGGGGAGGCATGCGAACGCAGCCACTGGGGCCTTCGGTGGAGCTCCCTATGGGGCCACGAAACGTGTGAGGGGTGTGCCGAAATGGGTGGTGGGGAGGCATGCGAACGCAGCCACTGGGGCCTTTCGGTGGAGCTCCCTATGGGGCCACGAAACGTGTGAGGGGTGTGCCGAAATGAGTGGTGGGGAGGCATGCGAACGCAGCCACTGGGGCCTTCGGTGGAGCTCCCTGTGGGGCCACGAAACGTGTGAGGGGTGTGCCGAAATGGGTGGTGGGGAGGCATGCGAACGCAGCCACTGGAGCCTTCGGTGGAGCTCCCTATGGGGCCACGAAGCGTGTGAGGGGTGTGCCGAAATGGGTGGTGGGGAGGCGTGCGAACGCAGCCACTGGGGCCTTCGGTGGAGCTCCCTATGGGGCCACGAAACGTGTGATGAGTGTGCCGAAATGGGTGGTGGGGAGGCATGCGAACGCAGCCACTGGGGCCTTCGGTGGAGCTCCCTATGGGGCCACGAAACGTGTGAGGGGTGTGCCGGGGAGGCGTGCGAACGCAGCAAAACTGGGTCCTTCGGTGGAGCTCCCTATTGGGCCACGACTGTGAGGGGCGTGCCGGGTGGTGGGGAGGCATTGCGAGACGCAGCCACTGGGGCCTTCGGTGGAGTCTCCTATGGGGCCACGAAGCCGTGGTGAGGGGGTTGCCGGAAATGGTGTGGGGAATGCCGACGTGTGAACCGCAGCCACTGGGGCCTTCGGTGGAGTTCCCCTAGGGGCACGACAAGTGTGAAGTGTGTGCCGAAATGCGTGGTGGGGAGGCATGCGAACGCAGCCACTGGGGCCTTCGGTGGAGCTCCCTATGGGGCCACGAAACGTGTGAGGGGTGTGCCGAAATGATGGTGGGGAGGCATGCGAACGCAGCCACTGGGGCCTTCGGTGGAGCTGCCTATGGGGCCACGAAACGTGCGAGGGGTGTGCCGAAATAGGTGGTGGGGAGGCATGCGAACGCAGGAGGGAGGAGGGCGAGGAGAAGAAGGAAGAAGGAACGCGGGGGCCGCTTCTTCAAAAAGAACACCCAACACCACAGGATGGTTGGACAAAAAAAATGAGGCGGGGGCTGCTGCCATAGAGTGAAAGACCGTAGCAATTTTGGCTCAAGCCATTTTGGCTCAAGCCATTTTGGCGTTGCGTCTGGGTGTCGTGGGGCGCCCCTGGTCGTCCCGGCGGGGGCGGGCGCGGCGCGCCGGCCATGGGCCGGGGTCTCTCCACTCCTGGGTGTACGAGCGATGGGGGACGTTGTCTGCCAGCGCTCCCTTGGGGCGTCGGGAGGGGGCGCCGTCTAGTGCGGCACCCAGAAAGCGGGCCATGTGCTTGCTTTGCGGTGCAGTGCAGCATTTTGATGTCAGGAGCGGTGAGGGTTCCTATGCGCCTGGTCTCTTCCCCTTGCCCCTTGCTGCCCTCGCCCGTCCTTGCCTGCCCCTCCCCTTTCCCCTCCCCTGTCCCCCCTTTCCCTTGGGCCTTCATGCATTGGGTAGAGCAGTGAGTGCTGGGTAGCAGGAGCAGTCTCGCTCGCCCTTGCGTTTGTGCTTGTCTGCTTTTGCAAGAGTGCGGGTGGTTCTGGGGCGGGGCTGGCCGTCGAGGCTCTTTTGAGTCATGGGGGCCAGCGTCGTCCATGACCGCCCTGTATCGCCTCTTGTGTTGTCTTCTCTGCTGTGTGCCTGGCCTTCTGTTGGGGGGGCGCTCTTTCGCTATTGACGTTCCCGATACTTCACTAGCGCTCTGGTAATAACATATGCCGTGGTCCTGCAAGGCCGTTGTGGCTACCGCAGTGCAGCCAAGCATGTCATGCGCAGCGTAATGGGGGAATGGGTATGGCAGCGTCTGTGGAGGCATGGGGGAGGTGAGGGTGAGGCGCCCTGGAGTGGTAATCAGCACATCTTGCTGCCACCTCTTCCTGATGGTGTGTCGGTGGTCGGGATCGGTCGTGGGAGCATGAAAGGCCGCCTCTCCGTCTCCCCCCCCCCTCTTCGATGGGTTCTATTTCAGAAAAACTGTTAGCCGACCCTGGGCCAACATACCCGAGCCAGGGTCTGTTGATCCAGGGTCTGTTCTTCCCGCCCCCCAGTAGGGTAAGTTGTCAGGCTGGGCCCGCGTCCTGGGTTTCCCGATCTTTTTTTGCTTCACTTCAGATGTGCACGTCATTTCTGACGCCCTACCTGACCCCCACGGCGTCGGTGTACGGCATGGCCCTGGAAGACATGACCCCGTGAGGTCGTGCCCCCCGGGTCTGCTTTGTTTTTTTCTGGTTTTGTCTCCTTGGGGTGGGCCCCGGGGCCGTCGCTTTGCTTGGGTGCCCGCGGTCCCGGGGTTCCTGGGTCCTTGGGCCGGCCGCTGCTCGCCCCCGTTGGCCCTGGGGCTTCCGTGGGCGGGTGGGGTGGACCGTCGTCGTTGTCGTCGTCGTCGTCGTCGTCGTCGTCGTCGTCGTCGGCGGCGGCGGCGGCGGCGGCGGCGGCGGCGGTGGCGGCGGCGGTGGCGACTCGCCTGCATGCCTTTCTGCAGGTCAGAGGGGGGGGCTGTCAACCAGGGCTTTGCCCTGGTGGGGAGCGCCGTCCTCCATTCGCGCTCCTCCGCCCCCCCCCTCTCCCTCTCTGTAAGTGACATTATATAAAGCAACCAGGGCAAAACCTAGAAGAGGAGAACCTAGGGGGGCTGTCCTCTTCTAGGTTCCTGCCCCCCCTCCAAAGATGGGCGGCCGAACGGTTGTCAGTTTTCCTCGCCTTGCCGGGCTGTTTCAGAGAGTGCTGTGCGTCATCCCAAGCGCCCTATGCACCCTCTGATCCGTTGCTTGGCCCTCCGCGTTGGGTCCGCCGCCCGCAGCCTTTTCAGCTGGCGGGCAGAGAGGGCAGCGCGCGCCGGATCGGCGTGCCATGGCCGCCCCCAGCGACAGTGACGATGCGCCCTTGCTGCCAGGCCGGCCTCCTAAGCGCCGCTGCCCCGGGGCGGAGGCGCGGCCAGAGCCGGAGGCGCGGCCAGAGCCGGCGCCGGAGGCCTGGCGGCACGACGAGGCGGATGAGGAGTATTACGCCTTCGAGCCTCCCAGACAGGGGCGGCAGGAGATCCTGAGAGCGCTCGCTCAACTCTTCGCGGTTCGAGGACAGCACGTGCACAGGGCAGATTACGATCTCCCGGATCGGCAGCGCCTGTCTCTCGAATCTCTGCCATTCTTGGATAGTGGGTACACCAACGGCCAAATACTTCGAGCTACCAGCCTTTCAGACGAATTTGCAACCCCCTGTTCGGGGGCCCAAGATACGATTATGGACAAGTTGCCGGCAAAGTTTAGATAGACGTTTGCATATGTGTTGCCAGTATGCTGCACGCTTGCTTTTGCGAAAATAGTTTTGGATGACTTGTCGGAGCTTCGAGGCCAGGGACCGCGTGACATCATCCGGCATGTGGCGGCCAAAATGTCGCACCCCTGCCAGATGTTCGCGGTTCACTCGGTATATAGCAAAGTGCGGCGCTCTGAGTTGAAGTCGCTTTCTAAGGAAGAGGCCCTCGATCATTTAGCAAGGCACGATTATTTCGTGGCGGAATCCATAGATCACCTTCCCCTCCGAAATGTGGACAATAGTGTGCGCTCAAAGGCTGAGCTGATGTTGTCGCTGCACAATGCATCGGCTCCATCGTTCGGCTTCTTTGGTAAGAAAAACGCCTGGAGGATCTACACCAGGCACCGCTACAGCAGACTTCCCCTGAAATCCAAGCGCCTCACGAGCGACTGGAATTACCGCATGCTTGTTGGACCAGGAGCACGAATATTTCTCAACCAATATTTTGGCTTCCCAACAAAGCTACTGGACTCGTCTTCCTCGGAGGGCGCCAGAACCTTTTTTATCGCAACGTCTCAGGGGGCAGGCGGGGGGCCAGCAAAGCTGACTATGACAACTCGGTCTCAGTCAGCGGGACGTGCAGCAACGCCGCGAAGCGGCCCATAGGAAGTACGTTTTCAACCACACGCTGCACGAGGGCCCCGACGGGCCAAAGATATAATGTAATTCGTCGGGGGGCCGATTGAGATGTGTATAACCTCAACCAAATCACAACAATCATCAAAAACTCGAGTTGCGATCGGCTTCAGAATATTCTCATTCCCACGTGTCGTGAGAGCAGGGCTGGGTAAAGCGTTCACAGGGGGGAAAAGCTTGAGCGGACACGAAAGACAGGCAGGGCAGGAGGAGGAGTAAGACCTGCACTGCTATCTTACACGGCCCACCCCTACCACACCACCCCGAGACGCGATCAATTAAGTTTGGAAAACGATCATTATCGCAACGTCTCAGGGGGCAGGCGGGGGGCCAGCAAAGCTGACTATGACAACTCGGTCTCAGTCAGCGGGGCGTGCAGCAACGCCGCGAAGCGGCCTATAGGAAGTACGTTTTCAACCACACGCTGCACGAGGGCCCCGACGGGCCAAATATATAATGTAATGCATCGGGAGGCCGATTGAGATGTGTATAACCTCAACCAAATCACAACAATCATCAAAAACTCGAGTTGCGATCGGCTTCAGAATATTCTCATTCCCACTCCCGCATCGGATGTGCCTGGCGTAGCCGAAACACTTCAGGTTGTAGTCCAAGGTGGGCGGGCGGGGACCACAACGTTCTCATCATGCGATCGGCCAAGAGCGCATCGGGGTGGTGGTCGCGCCCGTAGGCCACACACCTCTAGGGAGCCCTCGTATGGCGCCCCTAGCCACCCACTCGGGCGCCCCCGCTTGGCCTGTCGCTTTACTCTCTCCACCATCCAGTTGTCGCGAGCTCCGTGGCGACCTCTTTCACCTTCTTCATCTTCATGTTCGTCTTGTTGCTGTCGACCGGCTGCCTCTGCTGCTTGCTGTAGTTGGTGCGGGGCCCCCCCAGCTCGGGAAGTCTCGGCATCCAGGCCGTCCTGCTCCTGCCCGTAGACGTCGTGCTGCATGAGGGTCCCGATGGCTTCGTCCAGGAGCCCCCCCTCCAGAACGTAAACGGCGATGGCGAAGACGGCCTCCTCCGGCCACTGGCCTCCCTCCACAGGGACGACCAACCTCTGACAACTCTTTAAGCTTCGCAAGGCCAAGGGGACCTGGCTCCTCAGCTCAGGCCAACACCCCAGTCGCCCTGACAAGACGATCGGCCCCCATATGGGGTGGAGTCGGTCTCGGTAGCACTTTATGTCCCTGTAGTCGGCCAGGGCGTGGCCCATGGCGCTCTTGCACCGAGGCCCCCAACCCTTGTCGACGTGGCTGCTGAGAATATCCCGCACCTTCGGGGCCCACTGTGCCGTGATCACGTCCGCCACGAGGCGGGTGAATCGCCTTGTGGAGCCGCCCTCGCGGATGCCCAGGTGCGTCTCCTTCTCGTAGTTGTCCCACGCCTGCGGCCCCCGCCTCTGCAGGGGAACGTCTCCTGCCGTGTGCGGCTTCTGGCGAATCGCTCCGACGGGGTGGATCGCCTCCAATGCCAGGGCAGCTAGCCACCATCGTATCCCGTACCTGTGTGGCCCAGGTCGCGTAGACTGTGAGGTCGGCTGTCCGTCGGGGCGGGGTGTCGGTCGCAGTAGGCTGCCACCGTCTCGGGCGCTGTTCCCAGGGGACCTCCTGGAGAGAGGCCTTCGGCGACGTTCAGCTCCAGCGGGACGTAGCAGTAGTGCCCGCGGCCCAGGCGCAACAGGGCTGATGAGCTCTAATGGCCTTCGCCTGGGGCTCCCTGGGCCGCCATGCCGTTGGTGAAGCTCGGGGCCTTCAGCGTCCGCCTCCGTGGCGATCTGGCCAGGTGTCGGAGCACGCCCACCACGGTCCGCGTCTCGCTGGTGTTCGCGTGCTCCGTGCCCCCCCCCCTTCCGACGTAGAGTGGCCGCCATCTCGCAGGTGGCGCCCAAGCACGGGGCAGCGGGGAAGATCTCGATCTCCGCCCCTCCCGGCCTCGGCGGCCCGAATGGCGTCGTAGCTGGAGAGGCCCACGCGCATGCTGGATCGGGGCCCTTTATCTCCTTCGTCATGCGGGCCAACGCCTCGAGGATCGCCCTCCCTCGCGTGGCGCACCGCGGGGGCTGGAAAGCCTGGGCGGCGGCGGTGCAGATGTCGGGGCGGCCCCGCTCCACTCGCCCCTCGAGTATCGCTGGATGCCTCCCTCGGTGGTTGCCTCCCGGGCGGAGACGGCCCACGGCGAGGTCCAGTGCGTCGTCGTAGACCCCGAAGATGCCCTTCATGGTCGACTCCATCGGCGAAGCTCCGTAGCGGCCCTGCTCGATCTGAGGGAGCTGGCCGCCCGCCTCCTCGCCGAGGCAGGCCTTCTCGGGGGGGTTCCCGATAGCCGTGTACAGGTCCTCCTCTGGGTCCGCGGAGTGATCCGTCAAGCACGGGCCACCAGTTCGGCAGACCTCGCGGACCGCCTGCATGGCCGTGAGCAGGAGGCGCGACCCAAGGTCCAGGCGGAGGTGCTCGAAGGTAGTGAGTAGTATGTCGCTCCGCCCCCAAGGCTCGAGGCGCGTCCGCGGGGGCCTGGGCCTCTCTTTCGGGAAGCACGCTCGACTCCAGGTAGGGCATGGCGGCGGGGCAATCACTGCGTGGAAGTGCCCGTCGCGCGTCTGACCCCGAATCGCGCTGACCAGCTCGTCGTTGGGGCGGTCGTGCTTCGGCTCGATCACCGAGCCGATGGACCAGATCTGGATGTCGTAGCCGTCGCACTCCGCACGCGCGTAGATGGCCTCCTCCAGATCCCCCTCTCGGCGCCTGCCCGCGAAGAGGTAGAGCGCCTGGTCGACCCTCCGACTGACCCGCGGCGGAGGTGTAGCCGATGCATCGGCGAGCTCGTCCACGCCGTAGGTACGCCCCCAAACGTGGGGGACCCAGAGGTCGGTGGCGATCGTCACCCCTCTGATCTCGGTGTAGCCCGTGGCCGTCCTGATCTCCTCCAGCGAGGCCTCGGTGACTGCAACCCCGTGGCCATTGTCCTTGGACTCCGTCATACCCGTCATAGACACCTGCGAGAGCCAGGGCGCCTCGAGATCCGTGTGCCTGAGCGTGGCGCAGCAGGCCATCGTCGTCAGCCCCCACCTCGCCGCGTCTGGTAGGCAGAACGGCGTCCTGGCGGCCTCTGGGCGCCTCATCTCGCGGTAGATACGGCCGCGGATGGCGAAGCCCATGCGCTGAGAGATGGCCGCCCACGCCCACAGCTTCCCGGTGGCTCCGGGGTCCAGCATGTCCGCGCCGCCAGCCCCAGCGCCGCCAGAGTCAGGCCACAAGTGCGATCGATTTTGGCCGAGGCAGTGTAAGGTCGGCATCGAATGACCGCACCCCACGACTCGATCCCCTCGCCTTCTCTCTCCTGGTGGACGGGGAGCCCGACCTTCCCCAAGTTGTACTTGACTCGGGCCGTCAGCCTCCTCATGACCTCGCTCACTGGCTGCCGCCCGCTGGCGTACGAGGCCACGACCGCGTAGTCGTCCATGTACGCCCAGCTCCCTGACTCGAAACGACGGGCCCGATCAACTGGTGCGTCGGAGCCCCGTGGACCAGGCGCGCATCCCCGGTGTCCGCCCAGAGCCTGCGCGCCGTGAGAGCTTTCGGCCTGGAGTAGGCCAGAGGCAGGGGCCACGGTCGGCCCTTGACCAAGACCTTCACCGCCAAGAGGGGCCCGCCACAGGGGATGACGTAGCCCTGCCTTGTGGTCCTCATGTAGTCGAAGAACTCGTGGAGGGGCAGCCCCTCCAAGACAAAGTAGAGCCAGACATCGGGCGGCGTCTCGAAGCGGTCGAACCTGTCGAGGATAACGCCCACCCCTGTGTAGACCACGTCCGCCTCGCCGAGATTGGAGAGGTCCAGGTTGGTCAGGGTCGCGGAGCTGCCCAGGGGCCCGTGCATGGGCGTCTGCCAGCGAAGGTTGGCCCGCCTCCAGTCCCAGATGGCGCGGACCTGGCGCCTGACGGGGCCGAGGGGGTCCGCCTCCTCCCGCCAGCCCTTCTGGATGACCCCGAAGAGCGGCATGCCCTCGACCAGCTCGTCGGTTGTCCTCAGCATCCCTGCATCCCAGGGCTTCTCGACCAGGATGGGAAGAAATGTCCTCGATCGGAAAGACGAATCTCGGTAGACCTTTGGGCCCTTCGACTCCTCTTCCATGGCGGGGTTGGGCTTGCGTGGCATCCTTCCCGTACCGTCGGGGAGGTCCTCGGTGGCGAGCGGGCAGATGTCCACGGTCCTGGCAGGGTTGGTCTCTGGTGGCGGGCGAGCAGACTCCCCCGCGTCGACGGAGACCACCACGCCCTTTGGTAGCATCCCTCATCCCTTTGAATCCTTTCCCAGGGCAGCAAAAGCCCCTTCGCCTGATCACGGCGAGGCCCGATCGGCCGTGACGCGCCAAAGGGCAGCGTCCTCGTCCACCTTGATCGCGGCCACCTGGCTGCCCCAAGCTAGCCACGCCTCCCGGAGCCTCCTCGAAGTAGCCCTCTGGAGCGGTGTCGCCCGCTCCCACGTGGCCGACGGCCCAGCGCCCTCGGCCGCTCCGGCCCTGCCCCGAAATGGGTGCGGCATGGCTCGGGGCAGCCCGTCGGCTCGAGCTCACACACATCGTAGTGCGCCTTGATGTATCGGCCCCGCGCGGTCCGCCACCACCGACCAGGGCAGCAGCGGCCAGCCCGGCAGAGGGTCTCGGTCTCGAGGAACGGCCTCGGGAGGAACGCCCGCGGCTGCTGCCGAGGTAGACGATGGAAAAACGTGTGGATGGAGAAAAACGGGCATGTCGTCGCCTCCCGAGGGATGCGGTGGCACGCGAAAATATCGTCGCGACCAGCAAGATCACCACCACAGCTATCGGGAGAGTGAGCCCACAAGAGTGGCCGCCGTCAGAGCGGACGGAACGGTAAACCGCCAGCCTCTCCCTCAAGTGCGGGGGGCCCCGCAGGGCTCCACGGACGGGGGAGACCATCCCCCCGTCTGCTCGTCCTCCTCCGTTGCCGCGTCCGAGCCCTCCATCTGCGGATACGTATGTTGAAGACCCCTCTGCTGCAGCCTGGCCGTCAAGTAGCGCTCCACTCTCGCGAGCGCCTCCTCGCCCTCCGTGAGAGACCTCCAGTCCAGCTCGTCCGCGGGGTCCCAGCACGCCCTGGACATCCACTTGTCGGCCCCGCTGTCCCGAGGCTGCTTCCCGTCGATGATGCCTGTCACGTCCTCGAACGCCCGCGTTAGCGCGTAGACTCGGGCGCGCAGGTTCTCGTACCTCGCCGTCTGGCTGATCTCGGGCGAGGCCTCCGACCTCCGATCCAGCTTCATGCGGTGTAGCCTCATCTGGTGGCCGAGGTGGTCGCGACTCGGCCAACTGGGGCGAACCCAGTCCGTCGCGAACTTCCCCAAGCTGACGTCCGCCCCGTAAGTCTGGACCCGCAGCTCTTGCGCCACGGGGGAGGTGGTGCCCGCAAGGCGGGTGACGGTGGACAGCGCATCGATCTTCCCGAGGTCGGCCAGCGCCTGCTCCCTGGGGCATCATCCCGTCTACATGCCGGTCCAGGCGGGGCTCGGTCGCGCCACGGGATCATGATTTCCCGCTGGCGCGACTGCTCTCTCCAGGGGACGTTGACAACGAAGTGCCCTGACTCGTGCGGGCACGGCGCGACCCCGACCGTGGATGGATGATCTTGTCGAACAGGTTGCTCCCCGTGGCTGGCATATCCTGCATGCCCTTGGCTGGCATCGACTCGTCCGACGGACCCGCCCTGGAGGGGCCCGCCTCCCCGTCGCTGTCCATGGCGATCCCTGGAGGCGGTTCCCCCGCTAGCCGTGGCGATGACATCTGCCGGCAGCAACTCCAGAGACTTGGCCCGAGGGCCACAGACGCGGTGAAGATCATGATGGAAGTCTCGAGCCTGCCGCCTAGGTAGAGGTCGCGCCAGTCGCCTCGGACGTAGTCGGCTACGAGGAGCGAGTGGTGGCCATCCTCGAGCTCCTCCATCACCCATCGCATCCACCGCCACAGGTTGCCAGAGACGGCCGCTCCCCCGGAGAAGATGGCGAAGCCCACCGTCGACCCCCAGCTCCATGTGCTCCACGCGCCAGCCAGCCCAGAGCGAAACCAGGACAAGGAGGCCCCATAGCCGTGAGCGTTGGACAGATACAGCTCGGCCTCGAGCGGCCTCTCCAGGGCCTTCTCCAGGACGCCCGTCCCCTCGTTGGCCGCGGGGGCAGGGAAGGATACGTAGTCCCAGCCAGGCCGCCGACGACTCGACCGCCTCGCCCGATCCTTGATGCCGCCCACCAAGAGGGCGTGGTCCAGCTTCACGTAGATTCCACTCGCGTCGTTCTTCTTCTTCTTCGGGTACATCCGCACTTGCCCCCGTCACGGGGCCATCGTCCGATAGAAGCGGCTCCATCGTATCGCGCTACACATGCGAACCCGCCGATAGTCGTGGGGGCTCAGCCGCTCCGACTCTCTCGTGTCCTTCTGGGACGCGTCGTCCTCGGGCTCCACCAGCGGCCTCGAGAGGGCCGCGTCGACGACCCCCCAGTCCCCGATGTACGAGAGCAAGGCAGCGTTGGCAAACCACCACCGCCCCGCCGTGGTGCTGACGATCAGCGCCCGCGCCGTGAGCGCCCCAGTTGGCGGGGCGGAGAGGCGAGCGCGAGCTCCTGGCTCGAGAGACCTCGAGCCAGAAAAAGCTTGAGCGGACACGAAAGACAGGCAGGGCAGGAGAAGGAGCAAGACCTGTACTGCTATCTTACACGGCCCACCCCTTCCACACCACCCCGAGACGCGGTCAATTAAGTTTGGAAAGCGATCAATTCTACGCTGTTGCGGAAGGCGTGGCTCGCCTACAGAGCGATACTGGGTTCTCTTGTCAATGAGTTTCGACAGAGTGGCGATCTGCCAGCGGCAGAAGCGTTGGAGGCGCACATGACCAACACCCAAACCGTGGATGATATGCAAGGCTTCTGCTGTGAGTTTTCCAAAGTACTTCGGCTGTACCCTTTGTGCGCCCACCAGCGGGAGTCCTGAGAAACGTTGTCTTTGCTTGTTGCCCTTATGTGTCACAGTTGCTTTCCCACGTCTGCCTACATTAGCATGTTCTTCCCCATAACGTGCAGTGCCAATCTTGCGGTCGTTGGCTCGTGTCATGATGGGGTCTCTGTTGTATGTTGCGAGCATGTGTATCGCCGGCCGTCTCTCGGACAACTCAGGTTGGCCCGGGTGGTTCCGGTCGTTGTCGTCGTCGTCGTCGTCGTCGCCGTCGTCGTCGCCGTCGGTGTCCACCGTTAACCTCCATTTCTCTGATGGTGTAACTGACCTGTGCCATCCCCGTTGCTTGGACCTTTGTCTCTACGTCAACATATATTTGCCTCGTGGGGTGTGCGGTGTTGCGTGCCAAACTCCGGTCCTCTCTTCTTTTCTCTTCGCTCCGCGCCGCCGCCGCCCCCTGCTCCGGTGCCGTGCTGTGCTGTTGCGGTGCCGTGCCGCGTCGTGCCGTGCCCCTGGCGCCGTTTGCTTTTTGCTGGGGGTGGGCTGTGCCGGTGCCGTGTCGTTGGTCGCGCCCTGCCCCGCCTCGTCGTTCCGTGTTGTGCTGCCCCCCGTCCTGTGCTCCACTGGACGTCCTTGTTTTAGATTGTGGTGCTCATATGCTTCCGGCTGTCTGTCGGGCAGCCCCTGGCTGGCCGGGAGGGGGCGGGCGTCGTCGTTGCCGTTGTCATGTCAATGCCCCACATGGTCAGCGTGGCTGGGTATGCCGACGTGCTGTCGCCTGTGACGTTGTCGCAGGTTGGAAGGATGTCGGCACTGCCCTCGCAAGCTCATGCCACTGCCGCTTTGTTGGGAGCCACGGGGCTCGAGGACAGAAAATGCCGAGGGACAGTAGTCGCTCCCGCTCCCGGGGGCGGGACCGCCGCCGCCGGCCTTCTCGGAGCCAGCGCAGCCCTGTCAGCCGCCATAGGCGCCGCGCTGACTCGCGGACACCCAGCCGCCGCAGGCGCCGCGCCAGCCAGCGCAGCCCCAGTTCGAGCAGCCCGGTGCCATCTATTGCTCCGGCAGAGAAGGCCCCCGCTGAGGGCGGGGATGCTAGTGCAAGTGCTGCCCCAGCGGCCCCCTGCGGCCTCCCCCCGCCGGGCAGCCCGCCCCCCGGCGTCTTCGGCCCTCCGCTGGGCTGGATTGGCATATCGCCCCAGCGTGTGCATCGGGATCATGCCCTAACGGTGAAGGCGCAGCCCCCCGTGAGGGAGCCCGCTGCCGCTTTCGAGGGCGCAACGGTCGGGCTCGCGCTGCAGCAGCTCCAGCCGCAGCCGCCGCCGCCACCGCCGCCGCAGCAGCCGTCCATGCCCCACACTCCGCCGAGGGCGCCACCCACCGCCAGGGAGCAACAGCAGCCCTCTCCAGGACCGCCGCCTACGAGCCCGCCACCCCTCCCGCCTGGGTGGGAAGCGCGACGTGCGCTAAGTGGGGCGCTCTACTTCATGCATCGTGCCTCGGGAATCAGCCAGTGGGACCACCCGGGTGACGTGCGAGACCCTCAGCCCGGCCCACCAGTGGAGCTTGCGGCCGGGCCCCCTAGACAGCCGACGCTCGAGGATATGAAGAGGGAGTTCCAGGAGCTCCAGGCCCGCCGCGGGCCGTGGGAGGAGCTTCACAGTCCTGCTTCCGGCACCCGCGTGTGGCTGCACACTACATCCAACCTCATCGTTCGTGACATCCCGCAGGAGGTTGCCCAGAGGTTGAGACGCCTCCAGGAATTACGGGTCCACTTGAATGAGCATGCCATTCGCGCCAAGGCCACCACCGCTGCGCCCCAACAGAACTTGTCTTCGGCCCCCCCCCTCTGGCGGCAGACCACGCAGCGGCTGCCCCAGTTGGTCCTATGGCCGGCCCTGCTGAACCTGCGCCGTGGCCCCCAGGACTCGCGGGTGCTCCACCCGCGCCGGCTGCGGCCCCGGCAGTGCACCTTGCCCCGGGTGCCGCGCCCATCCCGCTGGTGCCTCCCCTGGGCGCCGCGGGCGCCCCAACCGCCCCCGCCGGTACCCCAGCCGCACCCCTTGCCTCGGGCACGGTGCGCCCACCGGGTGGTGTTGTGCGCCCAGGAGCGCCCGTGGACCCCCGTGTGTACGCGCAGCTGTCCACCTGGGACGAGGTCAAGTCGGCTCACACCGCCTGGCTTGCTAAGGCCCATGAGGCGGTGGGAAACAAGCGTGCCGTCAAGCTCGTCCTGACATTTGCTACCCAGTGCCACTCAGAGGTTGACATGCACAACGTCATGGTCGCTCTCGGCGTCCACATCCCCCCCCCCAAGTCTAAGCCGTCGCACCCGGCGCCGTGTGGGGTTCCGAGGGGTGATAACACGCAGCCCGCAGTTGAAGTCACGTGGAGCTTGAGCCCCAAGCAGACCATGATGTTCCAGCTCGTCAACCGTGGAGCGGGCAGGGTCTTGGTGAGGGCTTGCCGCACCGTTATCTCAGAACACATTGAGGAGCTCCTGTACCTCTTCGGGCCCGTCCAGTCGGTAGTGCCCAGCGTCCCGGAGCCTCGCGCAGAGTTGGTATCCGCTGCTGCGCCAGCCCGCTTGTCTGCCCGGCAGGCCCTTGGGGCCCCTGGCTCGGCCGCTGTCGCCGCTCCTGCTGCAGCGCCGGCCGGTGGGGCCCCCCCCTTGCCGCGGTATCAGTGAGAGTGTCAGGATCGGTTGGGTCTAGCATCTGAGTGAGTGGTGCGCAACCTGCAGTAGTTGTCGTAATATTTTTCCCCGTTCGGCCCCCTGAAGCCTAGAAGCGCGTGACGTTGCGCGCAATGCCTCGCGCACTTGCTGCCGTATGGATTAGGGTTCGAGTGCTAATTGGGCGGCCTGCTTTGCCTTGCCAATATTAACACCTCATCTTTTCATGTACCGGGCCCAGCGTGCTGGGCAGGCGGAAAAAGAGCGTGCGCCAGTGCTCCCGCCCGTTCGTGCCGTTGCCCCTTCATCCCGCCTGACTTGCTCTTACCGGTGCTACGATCCTCCTCTGTGTGCACGGATGTTTGACCACGGTTGCCAGATGACTGCCAAAGACGCCGGCCGCCGGTCGGGCAGCCCCCGGCTGACCCGTGCCGGGGGGCGGGTGTCATCGAATCCTCCCTTCCAGAGATTTATTTCACCCCCTGTTAGCAAGGTGGTTATCGTCGTTGTTGTTGTCGTCGTCGTCGTCCTCGTCGTCCGTCGTTGCCCCCCCCCTGCTCCGTGCCCTGCCTTCCTTCCTTCCTGCTTTCGCCCCGTCCCTTGCTCTTGCCCTCCCTGTCTGTTGTCGTCATTAGCGTGACATGCGCACATCGCGTGGCCCCGCCTAGCCCTCCCTCTGCTCCGCTTCTGCCCCTCTGCCCCAAGTCCGCCAGAGCACTGGCGGGGGCCGCCAACCGCCAGGGTTCGACTCCACGCGGCCCTTGGCTCAAGTGTGACATATCCCGGCCCGCGCGGATCCGCCCCCGAGCGCCTGAGTGCTAGGGGCCCGATGGAACCTGAGGCGGCGCCCTTGGACAGCCTGCGCACAGCGGTCACGCGGTGGTTGGGGAGTGAGATCCGCCCCTTGGAGCGTGCCGCGGCCTTGAAGGACGCGCGGGCGCTGCAGGGTTGCGCTCCTGCCCCCCCGCCGGCGATAGTAAGTAAGACGGGGCCCTCGGCCGAGCATCTCGCCACCATCGCGCATGCTCTCCGCCGTTTCATTAGGGAGGAGGTCGCGCCACCCCTCCATGAGGCGGGCCCCCCCCCCAGCGCCCCATCGCGTCCCCATATGCGGGATACATTACAGAGACTGAAGCCTCAGCTTTCGCAGCGAGACGCCCGCCTGCTCCGGACCCCGGCCCCGCTTTGTGTTTTGCCATCCTCAACCCAGGCAGAGCGGGCTTCATTGCGTTAGGCACGGATGCGTTGTTGGACTGGACGCTGGAGGCCGTGGGGCACGCACTTGTAGCGCGCGGAGTGGATATCTGCGTGCTGCCAGGTGCCCGCTTTCCGCCTGGCGCGTGTCTCCCGTCTGGCTTTCCGTATGTGTGGCTGGGGGTACGTTCGACGGAGTGGGGGGCCGTTGGTGTTTTCGTACGCACGGAGCTCTCTTGTGCACTGCGGCCGATTGCGGAATTGTCTGGCCCGCGGGCTCAATGGTTTGCTATTTGGGATGACAGCGCGTCTGCTGTCACGCCACTCCTCATTTTTTGTGCTTGCTATCCGGCTCCTGGTGGCGATGTAAACACATGGTTGTTTATTCTGCACTCCTTGCAGGAGCGTAGGGCGCGATATCCGAGCTCTCTTTTCCTCGTGTGCGGCGATGCTAATATCCACTTGTCCCAGGTCCTCCGGCATGAGCCAGGGTGCAGGTGTG